CGACAAGCTACTTGCTTAAACCTCAGACTAGTAATTGTATTACTAGTCTGAGCTTAAAAATTGACGTGCATCGTGTCCCTCCCTGACAAGCTAATTCCTTAAACATTGACGTGCATCGCGTCCCTCCTTGACAAGCAACTTGCTTAAACATTGACGTACATCGTGTCCCCTCTCTGGCAAGCTACGTGCGTAAACGATGACGTGCATCGTGTCCCCTCTCCGACAAGCTACTTGCTTAAACATTGACGTGCATTGTGTCCCTCCCTGACAAGCTACTTGCTTAAACATTGACGTGCATCGTGTCCCTTCCTCTCAAGCTAATTGCTTAAACATTGACGTGCATCGTGTCCCTCCCTGACAAGCTAATTAGTTGCTTAAACATTGACGTGCATCGTGCCCACTCTCTGACAAGCTACGTGCTTAAACATTGACGTGCATCGTGTCCCTCCCTGACAAGCTATTTGCTTAAATATTGACGTACATCGTTTCCCCTCTCTTGCAAGCTACTTGCGTAAACTTTGACGTGCATCGTGTCCCCTCCCCGACAAGCTACTTGCTTAAACATTGACCTGCATCGTGTCCCTCCCTGACAAGCTAATTGCTTAAACATTGACGTGCATAGTGTCCCTCCCTGATAAGCTACTTGCTTAAACATTGACGTGCATCGTGTCCATCCCTGACCAGCTAATTGCTTAAACATTGACGTGCATCGTGTCCCTCCCTGGCAAGCTACTTGCTTAAACATTGACATGCATCGTGTATCCTCCCCGACAAGCTACTTGCTTAAACATTGACCTGCATCGTGTCCCTCCCTGGCAAGCTAATTGCTTAAACGTTGACGTGCATCGTGTCCCTCCTTGACAAGCAACTTGCTTAAACATTGACGCGCATCGTGTCCCTCCCTGACTAGCTACGTGCGTAAACTTTGACGTGCATCGTGTCCCCTCTCCGACAAGCTACTTGCTTAAACATTGACGTGCATTGTATCCCTCCCTGACAAGCTAATTGCTTAAACATTGACGCGCATCATGTCCCTCCTTGACTAGCTACTTGCTTAAACATTGACGTGCATCGCGTCCCTCCTTGACAAGCAACTTGCTTAAACATTGACGTACATCGTGTCCCCTCTCTGGCAAGCTACGTGCGTAAACGATGACGTGCATCGTGTCCCCTCTCCGACAAGCTACTTGCTTAAACATTGACGTGCATTGTGTCCCTCCCTGACAAGCTAATTGCTTAAACATTGACGTGCATCGTGCCGCCTCCCTGACAAGCTAATTCCTTAAACATTGACGTGCATCGC